TTTTTTAAGCCAAACATCTTTCTAAAATTATCAAACCATCCTTTGCTGACATTAAATTCTCCAGCTTTAGATCCTTCACCTTCCTTTTGCATTAAGTTGTCATATGACTTTGCTTTTTCCCAAATCATATTAGTTCCTATAGGCATGCTTTTCTTAAGCAATCCCACACCCATGTAAAAGCTGCATTTTCAATATGAGATAAAAAAGTATTTCACAAAATGCACAAGGTTTTTGTGTGTACTGGCGTAGCTGCAGCTATAGCTTCATGAATTTCCTTTCCTTTTTTTATGATGGTCCTTACGGTAGATTCATGTATCTTAAAATGGTGGACACCCGCAGCTTCAGACCTCAATCTATGATACATATTAAGCATGTCAACTTTTTCTTGTAATGTCATGACTTTTCTCTGCCTCTTAAGAGCACTTCCAGCATCACTAGTAGCATTTCATATGGGTCCCATGGTGGTGTTCAAGGTTTATGGTATTTCACTAAACATGAAAAATACATGAGAGAAGTGAGAGATCACTTTTTATTGCTATATATAATTTATTGGAGAGACAAACTGTCCATATGGAGATGATTAGAATCAGATGGCATTTTAAGCAAATACTTGAGCTCCCCATGATAGAAGTAGGAAGTGTCTGTGAAATCATTACAGTAGTACAGTATGTATTCTAGTTAATTTTATGCAGTCATGACTTAAGACTGCACTTTATGTTTTACATTTTTCTTGAATGAATGGTACACACACTATGAATGGTGACGTGTAAAGTTTGTAAGTGTTTGCATAAGTTTTGATAAATTTTAACTTTTTGCAATAGATCTTTGTATATTTTATGGTAGTAAATGGTAAAATAGACTAGCATCCACATATATTTTATGCATTCATAACATACCTAACTTAAAGTATTTTGATGTTTCTAGGCTATGCGGTTTGTTTGTGAGTTTTTTCAAATAGTTGTAAGTCTCCAAAAAAATTTCCAATGTATTTATTAAAAAGAATACACACATAAGTGGATCCATGCAGTTCAAACCTATGTTGTTCAATGGTCAACCATACTAGCTTTTAGGCTAGTAATTGTTTTTAGTATCTTAAATCATGTAGAAAACAAAAAGTGGAGTTATAGATCACTGTTATATTAGTTTTCAAATTTCCCCTGTATTTACCTTTACAGAGATCTTTATTTCTTCCTATGGCTTCATGTTATCGTCTAGTGTCCTTTCATTTCAACCTGCAGGACTCCCTTTAATATTTCTTACAGAGCAGGTCTAGTCATCACAAACTCCTCTCAACTATTTATCTGAGAACGTCTTAATTTCTCCTTCACTTTTTTTTTTTTTTTTTGAGACAGAGTCTCACTCTGTTGCCTGGGCTAGAGTGCCGTGGCATCATCTTAGCTCACAGCAACCTCAAACTCCTGGGCTCAAGCAATCCTACTGCCTCAGCCTCCTGGGTAGCTGGGACTACAGGCATGCACCACCATGCCTGGCTAATTTTTTATATATATTTATTTTCAGTTGTCCAGCTAATTTCTTTCTATTTTTAGTAGAGATGGGGTCTCGTTCTTGCTCAGGCTGGTCTCGAGCTCCTGAGCTCAAAGGGTCCGCCCACCTCGGCCTCCCAGAGTGCTTGGATTACAGGCATGAGCCACCACGCCTGGCCTTCTCCTTCACTTTTGAAGGACAGTTTTGCTGTATATAAAATTCTTTATATAACATCTTTTTGATATGTAATCATATCAATCATTGTACAATCATTGTACATATTGTGGGATACATGCGACATTTTGTTACATGCACAGAATGTGTAATGATCAAGTCAGGGGATTTAGGGTATCTATCCCCTCTAGTATTTATCATTTCTATGATTTGGGAATATTTCAAGTCCTCTGTTCTAGTTATTTTAAAATATTCAGTACATAGTTGTTAACTATAGTCACCCTACTCTGCTATTGAACATGAAGATTTACTCCTTTTATCTAATTGTGTGTTCATACCCATTAACCAACCTCTCTTCATTCCCCTTTCCCTGACACACACTCTTCCCAGCCTCTAGTATCTATCATTCTTCTCTCTACATCCATAGGATCAACTTTTTAGCCCCTACATATGAGTAAAAACATGTAAAACATGAGATATTATCTTTTTGTGCCTGGTTTAGCTTAATGACCTCTAGTTCCATCTGTGTTGCTGCAAATGACAGAATTTCTTTCTTTGTGGCTGAATAGTATTTCATTATGTGTATATACCACATTTTCTTTATCCATTCATCTGTTGGTGGACACTTAGGTTGATTCTATATCTTTGCTATTGTGAAGAATGCTGAAATAAACCTGGGACTGTAGGTATCTTTTTGATATACTGATGTCTTTTACTTTGAATAAATAACCAGTAGTAGGATTGCTGGATTATATTATAGTTCTATTTTTAGTTTTTTTGAGAAATCTCTATACTGTTTTCCATAGTGGCTGGACTAATGTATATTCCCACCAATGATGTATAAGAGTTCCTTTTTCTTTGCATCCTCACCAGCATCTATTAGTTTTTGGATTTTTATTAATAGCCACTCTACTTGGGGTAAGATGATATCTTATTGTGGTTTTTATATGCATTTACCTGATGATTAGTAATGTTGAGCATTTTTTTATATACCTGTTGGCCATTTTCATGTCTTCTTTCGAGAAATGTCTATTCATGTTGTTTGTCTACTTTTTAATGGAATTGTTAGCAATTTTACTGTTGAGTTGTTTGAGTTTGTTATAGGTTCTGGATATTAGCCCCTTGTGGAATGAATAGTTTGCAAATGTTTTCTCCCATTCACCAGGTTGTCTCTTCACTCTGATTGTTTCCTTTGCTGTACAGAAGCATTTTAATTTAATATAGTCTACATTTATTTTTGTCACCTGTGCTTTTGAGGTCTTAGCTATAAAATATTTGCCTAGACCAATGAACTGAAGTGTTTCTCTTCAGTTTTCTTCTAGTAGTTTTATAGTTTCAGGCCTTACATTAAAGTCTTTAATCCATCTTGTGTTGATTTTTGTATATGGTGAAAGATAGGGGTCTAGTTTCATTTTTATCCATATGGATATCCAATTTTCCAAGTACCAGTTATTGAAGGGGATGTCTTCTCCCCAATGTATGTTCTTGACATCTTTGTTGAAAATCATTTGGCTGTAAATATGTGGATTTATTTCCAGGTTCTTTATTCTGTTCCATTGGTCTGTTTGTTTTTAAACCAATAACATGCTGTTTTCATTACTATAGCATTATTATATATTTTGAAGTCAAGTACCGTGATGCCTCCAGCTTTGTTCTTTTTGCTTGGGATTACTTTGACCATTTTGGCTTTTTTGGGGTTACATACGAATTTTAGAATTTTTTTTTCCATTTCTGTGAAAAATGGCATTCATATTTTGATAGGGATTTCATTAAATCTGTAGATTGCTTTGGGTAGTATGGTCATTTTAATAATGTTAGCTCTTCTGATTCAAGAAGAGCATGGACTGTCTTTCCATTTGTTTGTGTCCTCTTCAATTTCTTTCATGAGAGTTTTGTAGTTTTCTTTGTAGAGGTCTTTCACTTCCTTGGTGAAATTTATTCCTAGGTATTTTTTTGTTGTTATTGTAAAAAGGATTGCCTTCTTGATTTCTTTCTCAGTTCATTATTGTTGTATAGAAATGCTACTGATTATTGTATATTGATTTTCTATCCTACAACTTTACTCGAATTATTTAACAGATCTAAGAGATTTTTGGTGGAGTTACGTTTTTCTAGGTATAAGATCTTGTCATATGAAAGAGGGATAATTTGACTTCCTCTTTTCCAATTTGGATACTTTTTCTTTATTTCTGAAGAGAGAAAGCAATCTGCCTGATTGCTCTTGCTAGGACTTCCAGTACTATGTTGAATAGGAGTGGTAAAAGTGGGCATCCTTGTCTTGTTCCAGTTCTTAGAGAAAAGGCTTTCAGCTTTTCCCTATTCAATATGATATTAGCTGTGGGTTTAGCATATATGGCTTTTATTATTTTGAGGTATGTTCCTTCTATGCCTAGTTTTTTTTTATCATGAAAGGATACTGAATTTCATCAAATGCTGCAAACCTATTTTCTGCATCTGTTTTATTTTGATGATCATATGGTTTTTGTCTTTCATTCTGTTGATGTGATGTATCATGTTTATGGACTGGCATATGTTGAATGATTATTACATCCCTGACATAAATCCCACTTGATCATGATGTATTATCTTTTTGATGTACTGTTGGATTTAGTTTGCTATATTTTGTTGAGGATTTTTGCATCTATGCTCATCAGGGATATTGGCCTATAGTTTTCTCTTTTTTTCCTTCCTTCCTTCCTTCTTTCCTTCCTTCTTTGGGAATTAGGGTATTGCTGGCCTCATAGAATGAATTAGGAAGAATTTCCTCCTCTTCAATGTTTTTAAATAGTTTGAGAAAAATTTAGTTCTTCCTGGTAAGTTTGGTAGACTTTGGCAATGAAGCCATCTGGTTCTAGACTTTTCCTTTTTGGCATACTTTTTATTACTGATTCAATCTCATCACTCATTGATCTGTTCAGGTTTTCTATTTCTTTCATGATTCAATCTTTGTAGGTTGTATGTGGCCATGAATCCTGAATTTATTCACTCCCGCTGGGTTTTCCAGTTTGTTAGTGTATAGTTGTTCATAATAATCTCTGATCTTTAGTATTTCTTTTGGAGGGGGACAGGAAGTAGGATTTATTGGTGGGCATGAGTAAAGAGGGGGCAGCACAGTGGAAGCCCTCATAAGAGCAGGGTCCATCACTTGTCCAGGGGGCCATTATTGGGGATGTACAAGGGCTGTCTAGAAAGTATCCAGCCATTGTTAATATCATTTTTCATATTACATGGCTGGATACTTTCTGGAAAGTTCTCATATTTGACACCACAGCCATCTGGGATGAGCTGTTCTCAGCCACCATGTCTTCAAATTCATCCACATTAAACTTGGTAAAGCCCACTTCTTTGAGATGTGGATCTTCTGGTGGCCAGGGAACTTGAACTTGGTCCTGCATATGACCTCAATCACATGCTCCTTGTTCTGCAACTTGGTGTGGATGGACATGATGACAATATGAATCCTGGCCATGGTGCACTGGGGTTTTCCAAAGGCACCTTGCATACTCGTCTGGAGCCTAGATTGGGGACAACACAAAGTCTGACACATGAATGTACATTGGAAAGGGCTGTCTCCAAGGTCCCTTAGAGCAACCCATACAAACAACAGGCTACATACACTACTAAGGAGACTGCTGTTTGTAGCAATTGCACACTGGGCACCCATGAGGAAAGGAGCATGGTCAGATCAATTGGCTGCAGATTATCTTTTGTATTTTTGTGATATCAGTTGTAATGTCTTCTTTTTTCTTTCTTTATTTATTTGGGTCTTCTCTTTATTTGGTTATTTGTTTATTTGGGTCTTCTCTCTTTTTTCCCTTGGTTAGTCTAGCTAGTGGTTTATCAATTTTTGTCCACAAAACTAACTTTTTGTTTTAT